ATGCAGTTCTACTTTTGATTAACTTCTCAAAATTTTAGCAAACTGGAACACTTCTTCGAATTTATATACGATCTCAAATCAATATTGCTATGTGGAAAGGTCGTGAAATCATTTACAGGTTTGCTGCGTAATAAAATTTCGATATATTTAAAATTAATTTTTTTTCATGCAAGTGCATATTTTACATACGTGAGATAGATATTTCTAAAAGGAATACTAAGTTTCTGAGTTTGAAATTGCTTGTTATTTAACTTTAATTTCAAGAAGATAATTTAAAGTACCGATAGAAAAACTTTTATTACTCATTCAAAATCAACGCTTATACTTTTTCTGCAAAAAAAAAAAATTTTCTTTCAATTTGCAACAAAATTAAAATTTAAACACTCATCGGTTACGCATCCTTGATGACAGGAATTGATGAGATGGGAGCTGATAAACTGAATATTGATAAAAGCAACCACCAGAGGATTAAAAGCAAAAATATGATTAATTGCATTTGATCTTGAATGCACTAAGACCTGTATTTTATTTGTTTGCATTATATGATAATAGCAAATAATCAGTGATAATTTCTGATCATTTCAGTGCGGATCTATCAAGGATGAAAAATACGATAGTACCATTATTCGCAGAATATCAAATAGTGAAAATTGGTGATAATTCATTAGCGCTTCTCCGTAAAATGCTTCTGCTGATAAAAGGGACATTTGCATTTCTCTGTTTCATTCCCATCTTTGTTGGTATTCTGTTTGTTATCGTTGCTATCTTCATCGAATTACTTCTAAAGGTTTGTTCCTTTTTCATATCTTTTTTAGAAATTTTGGAACTACGTAATATATGTTTCCAATTAAATATACTTCAAGTCATAATCATAAATTGCTTTTCGGTTTACGTCTAATTTTTGTTAAATTTTAAACATGGCAATGGTAACAGAAATTTAAAACATGACCGTGAAAATTCAAAACATAACAGAGAATTATGAAAATAGAGATTTGTTAAAATTAAAGAAAATATGGGCATTGGAATTCATGCATTAATTAATGTAGCGATTATATCAAACAACAAACATTGTTGTTCGATGTGAAGAAGTGTTGAAATATTAATAATTATTCAAAATAGCTTACTTTGCATTTAAAATTTGCTAAAAATTTCATTCGTATTTATTTTTTTTGCACGATTTTTGTATAGCTGCAAATTTAAAAAATTATAAATTTGAAATTTGATTTTAGACAAAACTAATGGAAGAGAAGTCGAATAAAGTAATAGCGCAAGTGCAACCATTTCCCAACAATCAGAAGAATGTATCGTTCAGGTGATAGTGATAATTTATATGCTTAATTAATTATATTTCTTATTTTAAATAGCGGGTTTGGAAAAAAAGTAATCCTTCGTTATTCCTTTCTTTTCTTTTGTACAATTGGAAGTTCAAAGGTATATGCAATATTTTCTTTTTTTTGTGAATTATTTCTGTGAGTTTTCTTTGTGAATTATTTCTTTATAATTTTAAAATCAAAGAAGCAAACATTCCTAAAGAAAAGAATTTAAATGTCATTCATTGCTAAAGCATGTACATTCGTAGTGTTAATTAGACTCAAAACAATGAATAACAGTTTAAATAAAGCATGAAGTTTTAATATTGAAATCAAAAAATATTGATGTACAGCTTAGGACATTTATTGTTAGTTTATAATCATAACACTGTTTTTTATTTGTCTTAAAATACTTTTCATATGGCATATTTTTTCTTTTTTTGTTTGAAAATCTTGCGGATGATTTGATCGATCATTGTTAGTACGGATTAATTACTAAAGAGATATTGTAACTTATTAATGTAACCTTAATGAAATAGCTATTAGACAATTAGACAACGATGAGCTTATTTTAACAGTTTTATTGACTTTGAAAATTTTATCATCTTTCATAATTTTTGATTAACTTCGAAATTAGTGCAAATTAAATACTACCAATATTTTTCAAACAATATTATAAAACTTTTTCAAAAAATTTCTTAGTTATTACTGTTAACGGAATTTTCACTTCTGTAGTTTCCATGAGGAAGAGAAAATATAAGACTAAAAGGAAAAGGATATGCTCAAAAATGATCATAGAATGTTTAAAGATGAAATTAGTTAAAAGTGAAAATTGATACTAAATCCTATCTATTTCTAATGGCGACAATATCGATGATAACGAAACAAAAATTAATTGATCTTGTGAATTTTATGCTTGCAAAACAATGTCAATAAACCTGAAAAGACACTTAATTATTATTAAATCTTTTTCTTGCAAAAAAATCATCTGAGATTTCCATTTAGTCATATCTATTTATTTGATTTCAATTGTTATAAGTAAAGATTGCAGTTAGTACATTTTCTACACTTTGATTTTTAACTAAGCAATTGAATCGGATAGATTTTGGCATTGTTTATCTCCAACTGGCATTCAATAAAACAACTGTAATAGAACGATTGGTAAAGAAAATTTCGGATTATTATTGAAATTTCCTGTGGAAAACTTAAGTTAAAATGAAACTGAAAACTAGGTATTACAAAGTTTGATTCTTCATTTTTATTCACATTTTTGTTATGTTTTAGTTAGTCTTGCAGTTTTTTAATACCAGAAATGAAAAATGTGATGAGGAAATTCCTAAAAAAACCAGAAATGAACAGGAATCAATATTAACTGCAGAAAATAGTTCGGGATTATTTTAACACGCAAAGAAATGAATCACACATATATCTTGAATCTATAAGATGTTTACTATTGTGAGAATTCGTTAGTTTTCTATTAGAGGATATTCCACCTTCAAGGTAGGTCTGCACATCGTCATATTATCATTAATCTGAAGATTAAGATAGTTTGCTGTAGAACCTAACTTTATTATAAATGATTAATATGGAAAATAAAAAAGTGCAGCAGCTGAATGAGCAAGGCTTGAAGCATTATTTGCAGCATTTTTCAAAAAAGATTTAAAATATTTCGAAATGAGTAATTTTCGATGAAGCATTGTTACAAGTTGTGTTGAGAAGCTTAGCATTAACCATTATGATATCTCAGTAGATGCATTGATTCTGACACAGAAGTAAAAAAAAACTGCTTTGTTGTTATTCACTGTGAATTAAATCCGATTTCTTCTGTGTCCAACTTTTCATTTCAAAATTTTAATGAACATGAAAAATTTATGAAATTTCATGCGTTGAAATACAAATATTCGTTCATGACCATTGTGAAAATCTCACCATAGTATAGAGGTATCAGATTTAATATATTTCCCAAAAAACATCATTATAATTTGGTTAGTGAAGGAAATAAACGAATAACTGAAACGAAATGAAATTACGGTCGGTATTAAAAGTGACTTATAAAACAATTGGTATAAGACCGAATCACTTTATTCGACTTTCTGGTTCAGATACTTCCCATTAAATTGCTCTAAGGAAGCACTTTGCTCAAGAACAATATATATGATAGATCAAATTATGAGGAATTAATTTAAAAAGTCTAAATACCAGTACGAAAAATCTTCATAATCGTTGTTTTGTTGTCTTTGCATTTGTCAAAATGGATCGTTTTTATTGTTATTTCACTGTAAATTTAGAAAAATATACGACCTGCAAACATTTTTTAAGAAAACAGAAACTAGGCACAACAGTGTGAGAGTAAAATTATTTATTAACACCTCAATTTCAAGCTGGGAGCTCAGTTTTAATTTCAATTTGTTACTTATTTACGTTAAGATTTTACAATTGCGTTCACCCGTGAAAGTATACCAGCGTACTAAAACGTAAAATATTATATAAATCATTCTTCATCAAATAATTGATATCATTTTTAGTTTTATTTTTCGAAAAAAAGGATAAAAATGTTAGGTTAAATCCTCTACTGATGATAGCTGAGATGTAATATCTTTTTCGTGATTGCCATGTTCTTCGGTATCTGCATTTCCTGAATCAATAAAAACAAGCTCTCGAGAAGAACGTGAAGAGTTCTGCAAAAGAGACGATGGTGGTGAAAGAGATTTAAATACTTCTGCTTCTTCAATCATAACTTGTTCGGTTAAATGCTTCAGTTCTTCCGTCGGATATGCATTGAGAATTTCATCTACTTCTGCTGATAATTCATCTGTTTCCCTGCAACATGAGACATTTCGTTGAATTTTATTCTCAACTACAAGAGAAGAAGTTTTTGAATTCGAATATTACCACAACTACAAATTAAATTGAGAAATTCAATAATACCTTTTCACACGTATTTCAAGCTCGTCCATTCTTTCCTTCAAATTTTTCTGCCTCTCCAACAGCTGTCGTACTTGTGCCAAAGAATTTTCCATAGTCCGGATCGACTGGATAAATTAAATTTTCATTTTCTTAGTAATATTTAAATTTCTTAGTCATATATTTAAATTTGCTCAGTAATATTTAAATTCTATTTTCTCAGTAATATTTAAATTCTTAGTAATATTCTATGTAATATAATTCATCGAAATAAATTGGACAGGCTACTGTCCAATCAGTTTCACTAAAAAACAATTCTTCTTTAATAGTAAGAATTTAAAGATTTTATCAGCAAAAAAGATTCCGAAGTGATAGATATTAGTCAAATGTACAATTTATTTCTCGTTGAACACGCAAACATATAGCACCTGGTTACACCCCATATTCATTGCGTTCAATGGAGGTACTTGGTGTCCTGAAGTGTACGCCTCAAACTCTTCTCTTGGCATTTTTAAGCTTTCGGCATTCATATTCTGCACAAATTGTAGAGCGCAACTTACATTCGTAAAATAATAACCTAAAAAGGAAAAGCCATTTGGGAGAATTATAATAAAATGCATCACTTATGATCTCATTAATTTCACGAAACAATATTTTTTGGTATCAAATAACAATTTAATAAGCATGTCTTGTGGCAAATTAATTTACTAAATAAAGAAAAATCTTGGTGTTTCACAGAAATATTTTACAACTTCAAAAAAAATTTTAAAAATGAAAAGGAAAACCTGACTCGCCGCTCAAAACCCTGGCCGGAAGAGCAAATCGACTGACAAATTTGACGTTTGATTGAATAAGTGGTGGATTTCCTTTCAGAATCACAAAAATCAGTACCGGCAAATATTCATCGGCACCAGCCGGAGCGCCTACAAGTTGAAAAATCTATCATCTGGAAACAGAAATGAATAGCACGTACATCTCAGCTACGCAAAAATGTGGAAACCCTAACGAAAATGTTAAAAAATACGATCTCGATTTGTTCTACTAATTAACGAAAACTCAGACATGTAAAAATGTAACATGTAACAGCTACCGTTGATCAAAACGATTACAATGTTACACGAATATATTAAAGCAAATTCCAGAGTGCTAGTATTGCTCAATATCATCAAAACATACCTGAGCGGCTTTCCTTAAGCGCTTCGAAGATCATTTTCGAGCAACGAACCAAACACTGCAACTTTTCCGCTGCTCCACGATGGCTGTTCATATCAATAATTTCAGTTATTGCTTCATCTAATTTGTCACGAACCTGCCAATTAAAAAAAACTTTCAAGCAGCAATCTTTTTTTAATAAATAGTGAATGTGTGAATTGAAATAATGTAATTTACCGATTCTTGACTAAAATCAAGAGTGGTTTCCAGAAAACCTGCTGTAACCCAATTCAAGGACCGTATTCTATCTTGCAAAGATAAATCTGCAGTTTCTTCGTCAGCTCTAAAATATTTAAAAGTTTTAAAAAAAGATTACGAGAGAAAATCTAACTAATTCTCTATTCCGCATCTAAAAAAAATCCCAATGCTCATAAAAAATTTTGCGAACAAAACAAATTTCAAATGCGGATATTTATAGAAAAAAGCAAAATAACATGCCTGGCGCAGAACAATGTGCTATAGGCCCGTACACATATATATTGTTCTACTTCTGCCATTACTTCTTCAACGCTTACATTAACCACTGAATCTGAAATTTAATTAAAAAGTGGTATATTAATATCTAATTGCTTCGCAAAATGTGTGGTAATTCATGGTACCTTCCAAGTTCTAACTGACACTTCCAAAAGCAAATTTTTTTTCTTTAAATAACAAAACAATTACCATTCATAAGGGGGCTATGACGCATTTTATCTGCAAGCACCTGATAAAAATGCTGTACCATGCCAGAGAGGTCATCCATATTGACGTTTTGTTGCTGGAATTCAAACAAGTTATTCAATTTCAAACAAGTACCATCTGAAAAAAACTAATGCAATTTCAAGAAACTACGGTAAAAAGTAGATTGCATGACAAAAACAATAAAAATTTTTCAAATTCTTTTGAAGATTAAAGCATTCCTGTTAAATACCTCCCCTTACCCACGATTCAATCGAGTGAGGAATAACAATACGAAGACTGACTTCCAGAATTTTATCAACAGCATGATGTGTTTGTTGAGCTATCTCATGAGCAGCTGCTTGAGAAAGATTATTTTGAAGGAACTCGTGAAAACGATCACAAGCGTAACTACTTTCTTCACTAAGACGATGCCTAGAAATTGATTAGTAACATATATTTCTTAATTAGATTGCACTAAAAGTTAATTATTTCCTCAATAATATGCAAAAAAAATTCAAATTTTATTGTATTTTGAAAAAAAGTTCTCATTTCTTGATATGCAATAAGGGAAGATTATTGAAGAAAATATTATAAATTCCATATCATAAGTTCACATTTTGACGTAAAATAAAAGAATTTAACAAATAAATGAAATGTGACTAATATGGAGAAAAAACCGAAATAAAGACAAAATGTTATTTAAGAGAAGGTGTGGAATACCTTATCGGTGTAACAGGAGATGGCAGTGTAGACTGCGACGGAGCTGTTGTGTATATTGTTTCTACAATGAAACATATTAAGAAAAAACTTGATTTCTCACAAACTTATAAAAAACACTGCATATAATATGAAAGAAGTACTAACCTTGGGAGGAATTTGAATTGGCAGTTAGTGATGATGATTTTCGAAGAATCGACTTTAACGTAAGCGAACGACTTTCTGTAGATAGTCTCCGACGTCCTTCAAATTTCTCGAAACTTAGAAGTTCTCTACAAAAAATTCACTTAATTTGCATCGGCAAACGAAAATAATGAATTTTGAAAATTCCGGACTTAAATTCCCGACGTAAGTACAAGATATTAAAAACTCCCAATTTTAATTTTAAAAACACCAACCTATTTTTGGTATAATACTGTGTTTTCTTCTCCTCCATTTGATAAGTTCGCCAGCACTTTGAGCATCTTCCCTTCCACTGTGGTGTACCGTAAAAACCACACTGATTGACACAAAGCTGCAAAGAGTGACTGCTATATTTTTTTTATTTTACAAAATCTAAGCAATCCATTTGAATAAAAGAAACATTTTTTGCATTCCCACTAACCACCTAACTTTTGATCATAAAGAAGAATCAATTTTGTTTGTCTGAAACCTAAGAACTAGTTTATGATGCTTCATTTATTTATTAACATTGCTGCTCTACTGAAGGTTGAATTGTTTAACTCGGATTTCAAATCACTAAATTAACATTTTCGTAATTAAGTAGAAAAGAACGACTTGGAAGCCATACCAGATCTCCTTCCGTGATCTGCACTCTCAATCGCTTCTCAGATGAAGATTTTTGCAGTTTTTGAGTTTCGCTCTCTATTTCACTGCTTTCCATCTTGCACTCGATAAATTTCAAGATCTAAAAAGTAATATTAATATCGTTAATATCGTTTTTGCAAAAATTTTGAAAAAATTATCAAGGAAATATCCTGCACACAAATTAACAAATTTTTACGATTAAATTAAGATAAGAGTTTGTTATTTGAGAGCAAAGAAAAATCTACTGGAGAATACTTGTAACAAATGAAATTTGAATGAATTGACATATTAAAGAAATCACCAAAAAAAAAAGTAAAAATCACAGAAAACAGCACCAGTTTGCTCGGAGTGACATCAAACACCAATAATCAATCAATGTTTAATGATATATCAAGCCCACGCAAAGGTAATTTATTATTTATGCTCCAATATAGCATTGTTAATTCACATAAAGGTCAGTTCGAAATGATTGCAGTTATCAGTATTGGTCACTTGCCAGCACTCTTACTGAACCGTCCTGAGATGAACGAATAAAGTCATTCCGAAAGGATTTCAAAATCCTTAAATATTTAAAACATTACACATAATAAAAATATTTAAGTAGTTTTTAATAACATCTCCTCTAATGATATACAGATAACAGAACTGACGCAATAGTTAAAATGCTGATTATCGATGGGATAAATAGAAATGCAGAAAATGTTTAATGAGCATCAGCGCACAAATAAAATATCGCTGATTGCTTTAATCATAGTGATTCAAATAATTCTAAAATTTTCCTTTAACTTTATACATTTCTTTCAGTACTTTAAGTATTTTTTGATTTAAAATATTTTGCAAGACAATTATATACATTTCTTCAATTTTCAAACAATCTTAAAAGTGTAATTTTCAGTTTTTATCAGTGAAAATCCATTTACATGTGTACAAAAATGAATAGTTAAACAGATTGCAAAACATAACAAATTCTTTTTAAAACCAAAGTAATAAGAAATAAATGTCTCATATGCAGAATTAGAAATTGCATTTCAAAAAATTAACATTGAAGAACTCACCAACTAGACAACAAAAGAAAATGAGCAACAGTTAATTACTACGATCGCAATCTTATCATTTAGTTGATTAATAGAAGTGCAAATACTAATAAAGAAGCTTTTTTTTTGAAAACTAGAAAAAAATCCTGAAGAATTCATATCTGCTAATTGTGGGAGATAATAATTGAAAAACCTGAGTTATCTGAAGAAATTAAACAACAAAAAGTATTAAATACGTTATGGATCAAAGACTGAAAAGAAACTGAAGCAGTGTATTGATAACCACGAATGAAACAAAAACATAAGTCACAATAACGACAATAGAAGAACAAGTGAATATTAGATTGAAATGACTTAACAAAGAAAATCAAACATCTAAAACAGTAATGGGAGCAAAACTGTCATCAATGTTTCCTGATTTCTTCGGTTTTTTCATTTTCCGTTTCTCTTCTGGACAGAATGGATTCTGTTTCTCATAAAATTCTTTCAACAACTTCACAGCCCGATCAACACTAAGATTTGGCACAATCTCAATGAAATGCTCAGCCCCGTATTTCTCCCTTGTTCCAACACTAACTAAACCACCGAAACGTTCATTTGCTGCACCATACAAGATCTTTTTCAAATGCAAATGATATAATGCTGAGGCACACATGATGCATGGTTCAAGCGTAACGTATAGAGTCGTGCGGCGCATTACATTCTCCAACTCACGTCCATTATCCACGCACCACCATTTCAACATTTCAAGAGCAACCATTTCTGCATGATATAGGGGGTTCTTCGTACGATTGACGTCATTTCGTCCAAAAGCCACTTCTTGACCTTCGAAAACGAAAACGCAGCCAACAGGCACTTCGTTATTAATGACCGCATCCACAGCTATTTCAAAGGCTCGATTCAGAAAATAGACTTCTTCTTCGTTAATTCCTCTCTTCAATGACATCAATGCAACTTCACAGCACTTCAAGACAAATAAACCATCTAAAGGCTGAGTAACTTCGGCCAAACATTAATCTGGTATGGATTATTTCATCGCTTTTAATTTTTGCTGAAAGATATGAGCATGTATAAACTAAAAAAATTTTAAGTTGTAAAAGTCAAGAAATGCAGAATGGAAACTCAATCTAAGTTATCATTTTTTAACTTCTGTCGAATAAATTTCTATTCAGCAATGGAAATAATTATTAGATTTCTTTCCAAATTATCTTTGAAAAATTTTAATTGTAAAAATTGTAAGAAAATCCACAATATCAGAGAATATATCACAATATCGGAGACGACATGAATTTCATCTAGTAGCATTCAAAGGATATGGAAATTCTAAAATAGTGTGGGACGTTTTCTTCGCATTACTTCTGCTCTTTTCACTTTATCTATTATTCAGAAAACAAAAGAGTGCACGCAAAGTAATGAGAAAGTATAGTGGAAAATATTTACTAAACAAATCATAGTATGAGGCTGATCAATATGAATGGTCGTGTTAACGACGTTAAATTGATAAAGGATACATGGAAATAACTGTTTTATTAATGCTTGAATAACTAACAAATACAAACATCATAGATAAGGACTAAACACACTTCTCATACAATAAATAAAAACAACGTAGCAATAGTTGCTATTTTCTGAAGCACTCATTGAAAAACTAAATGAAATTTAATACTTTCAAAACTTATGGAAATCGTACGGATAACTGAGAACAGCTTCAACATTACTTTAATTCTAAATAGTTAAAATTTATTATCTTACTTACAAATGTTTGAAAAAACTCATTGTCTTTTTTATCACACGAAATACCAGTATTTTATAAAGCTTGAAAGAAAAACTCCAAAAAAGTAGCAATTAACTATACTTATTCATTATTATTTCAATCGTATGCCGGCAATCCCACGTTTTCTGGCTTAAAGTCTTCCAAACTTTTAAGTATCAAAGTTATTTTGCTTTGTAGTTCATCTGGAATCTTCATGTAAGTTAAATCTGGCACCATGACAACGTGCATGCCAGCTGCTATTGCTGCATATACTCCATTAGTTGCATCTTCGAAAACGAGGACATTTTCAGCTTTCTCAGGTTTCTGCTCGAACCTATCCATCGTTACCAGAAAGGGGTCTGGAGCCGGTTTTCCTCGTTTGACGGCAGGATCATCACCTGACAAAACCTGAAAAGAAATAAATGAAATTGTTTCTCTAGCAATGAAACTTTGATACCTTTTATTCTCTGTCTGAAAATGTTCACACCGAAATTAAATTTTTTCCCTAGCATGAAAAGCATAGTTCCACTTTTTGCAAGAAAAAGATAGCCTAAGTTTAGAATTCAAATTCGAAATATTTTTGGTTTCATTTTTTAGCTTTGCTTTCTTCGTTATCGTTCAAGATACAAAAGAAACACTTTCCAGATTCTATCACGTATACTATAATGTAGTGTTATCAAAAATATCAATTTTATTATCCAGTATCAAATGGTAAATGGTCTTGCTGATAGAAAACTTACCCTCAAAGATATCAAATCAAGCAACTCCTTATGATTCCGAGTTTTAAGCTCAAATTCTTTTTTAGTCGAACCTGTGCATATAGCCATAGGTATATTATGAGTTTTTAAATGCCGCACAAACTTCAACACCCCAGACATTATGGGACATTTTGGTAACATTTCTTCAGCCATTTCATCGTATTTTTTACAATACTCGTCAACGTCAACTTTTCCAGACAGTTTTTCCTGAAAATGAGTTTTAATTACGAGACGTATCTACAAACTTTTAAGCTAAAAATTTCTTATAAAATTATTCGTATCTGTATCTCACACCCAATCAGAAGAGTTAATTAAGATTTTGTGCATTTTTCTGAAAAAGTAAACACAAAAATTTTCAGATTTCTGAAAAGTAAGGCCAAAAGTAATGTGCTAGTAATTTCAAAAACCTGGTAACATAATTATATACGGATCTCCTGGACAATTAGGTCTTTTAGATTTTAAAATGAACAAATGAAGTTCTTAACACCCAGTTATAACTGAAAGGCGAGAACATTGTGATCATTCGAAGATGTATGGAGAAGCGAATGCTACACTATGTTTTCGTATTATAGAACTGTTGCTTGCTGCATAAAATGATTCTGAACTCTTGGAAATATTGCATTGTGGTAACTAGAGAATATAAGAAACAAACATGTTCGAGTATGTATGTTACAGCGGCTTTTTTCGGCATTCCTGTCACCAAACCTCTCAAATGCGAAGTGAATTCCTTATCATACTTCGATAATAAATACTGATTCACCTTCGAGAAGACTACTTCAGTATCGATTAATAGTCCATCCAAATCAAAAATCACATGTGTTATCTTCACCATTGATTTCATGACAGCCTGAAACGGAAAGGGATGAAAATAAAGCATTACTGGTTTTCAACATCATTTAACAATAAGCAATAACAATAAGCTTTAACATTAAGTTTAACATAAGCTTTAACAATAAGCAGCATCTGCTCAATATGCTGCTCTGCTTTATATTTGGTTAAAATTTTTATCTTCAATATCAACATATGGCTCACATTTGCACATATTCAATAAACAGCCGCAATTCACCAAGTTCAGTTTTGAAACACTGACAAAAAACCAGAAATCTTTGTCTTCTTATATGTTCATTTTTACTCAAAAATTCAGAATTTTCATATATCTAATCTCTGTCTGAAATGATAGAACAAAAACTAAGAACTGCGTATGCTGAATTGAATTCGTATGCTATACCAATAGCAGATTTAGATTGTTAATGCAGGATATCACAAGCATACAGCATGGGACAGAGTGCTTATCTCACACAACAGTCATGTCTTTGCATTCTGAGCACAGACTTATATTACAATGCAGACACTAGTACTAATCTTCCTGCAAACACTGATTACAAAATGAATTTCCCTAAATCTGTAAAGATATGGACTCTAAATTATCTCTGAAATATGGATTCTAAATTATCTCTGAAAAAAATTGCTATGTCAGAAGCATGATGTAAAGCAATACATAATTTGTTGAAGTAGAAACAGTCGATAGTATGCAATATTCTACAAAATATAGATATTAATGATATCATGCACTGATCTGGCAATTGTTTTCTTTTTTTTATTCCATTTATCTCAAGATCATATTCAGTGAGGATGTAGACAATCTAAGTTGTAAAGCTGGACCATTTAAAACTTATGTCACATGATTCCGTACTCATTTTTATGAGAAATCAAAAAATAAAGATTAGGAATGTCAGCACACAAATAAAATCAGATATATTGCATCCAAATTGCTAGCTCTACGGCCGCATCGAAAAGTGCCAAGTGATGTAGAATACAGCAGCTCTCCTTCTGATATATTCACTTACTTGCACTATTACGCTAAGCTTCAAACACATTTAGTGAGAGACACTAACAAGCTAAACATCTCTCCTCATCCTCTTTTTCTTGCCTTTTGCTACTGTAGTACTTGCTATTGCAGCGCTCTCCACACAAACTATAATTTGAAAAAAGTTGTTACTTTTTGAAATCAATCATTTTTGACGTTAAAAAAGCCATCGTAATACAACCGAACACCAAACACATTTTTTTGTTTTATACTAACTTCATTTCTCCTTACGAATACCAAACAATATTTTAAACCAAATTTTTGGTGCATATGAACTTTCTGCATAAAAATATCCAAAAAATTCTGAATTACTTTAGTGTTTCGTAACTTTCGAAACGAGAACATATCCATAATGACGTTGTCACACGAAATGAGATACAGCTATATGGCCGTACTCATAGGATTATATATCATAGGATGCCAGCCAGATAATTACAAACTCCACATTCATACATGAAACGAGTTATAGCGATTGTCAATCTGCAACTATTTCCAATATTCCATTTGTGCTTAGAATGATTATACCAGCGTATACATAAATCTTTTTTAATTCCAAACATCGAGATGTAGTAAGATGAAGTTGAGAATTATAAAAAGTAAGAAAAGTTTTATTTCTAAATTTTTTGTAATTTGAACAATTTGACGAATTCTAACGGCTTCTACTAATTTAATATCTAACAAATATGTGCAAGTTAATATAACAATTCTTGAATGCTGAATTAAATAATCTGAATTAAATGATTAAGCAGTATAACTTACGATGTTCAACATCCATTGTTACGAGCAAGAAAAGGATTTTCCTACTATATAGCACAGTGCACTGAGGTGTGGTAACATTGCCTCGAATTATGATGCTCTTCATCATCAATATGATTAACACATCATAAAACAGCGCACAAATGCATAAATTCAATCATATGGTGGTAAGCCCAACATTTCAGGTTTAAATTGCTCCAAACTATTCAACACCAGTGTTACTTTATCCCTGTATTTTTCAGAAGGATTTGAATAACGTAAATCTGGTACCATCACAACATGCATTCCAGCTGCTAATGCTGCGCAAACACCATTTATCGAATCTTCAAAAACTAAAACATTCGCAGTACTCTTTGGCTCCACTGCAAATCGTCGCATTGTCTCCAAAAATCCATCTGGTGCTGGCTTTCCTTTTTTAACATGCGGATCATCACCAGTTAGAACCTGTACAAATATATAAACATTCGTTATGCTGGCACAATATATCTATAGAATAACAAAGATTTATTTAGTAAAAGTTATTTCGAGCGTGATTTTGAAACCGGGAAAAATGCATGAAAAAGTTACATGAAGTGGAATGAGATCGCATAATTCTTTTTGATTTTTCATTTTCGCGTTGAATTCAAAAGTATTAGATCCACTGCATATTGCTGTTGGAATTTTATGTTTAGCGAAATGCCTCACCAATTTCATAGCACCAGGTAATAACCGACTTTCAGGAAGATGTTTACCTAGCAAGTCTAAATATTTTGCTCTATAGTCCTCCAAATTTACTGTACCAATCAAGTGCTCCTGAAAGCTATAAAACACTTAAACAAATCGAATTTTTCATTACTTTCGTTTTCTCAATAAGCACTAACGGCAAGAAGAAAGAAAATACAATGCAGTTTGAATAAATTATGCAGATAAATTTCAGTTTTAGATTAGATTCCGGATTACTTCAAATAAAAACAATGATAAGAATAAAAAGTGGGACATACATGTTCAAGCATCATTTGAATTGCATCATTCATCTTCATACCGGTTGTTTTCGTCTTTAACTCCATTGTATACTCTCTACCATAGCTTTTCATCAATTCTGTATTTACATTGGTATAAATTGTTTCCGAATCAAGTAGCAGTCCATCTAAGTCAAATATTATATGAGTAATCTGTACATCGGAAACATTCATCTTTCCTAAAAATTTTAGAACAAATTACTACTTACATTACAACAAAATTCAACTCAACATAAACATACGTGTACAAAACATCCATAAATCTAAATCAAAAAACTTGGTAACTTAAAAAACTTTAATTCTGAAACCTACATGACCAAACTTCTATTGCCAAAGCTTTAAACATGATGAAATAATTTGGGTACATTAAGCACATGCTCAATCAATTTAAACAAAAAATGTATTTGTGCCATGCTGCTAGAGTTTATTGATTTATCTGAATCTTACTGACAAATGAAATCGACAGATATTTATTTAGGTGCAAGAATTGTTTGAAAACCATTTCATTATGCTTAATCTAGAAACAAATATTTAACTGAAGGACAATTCTGCCACGTCTCAATCGCGTAGTCTCTCATGAATTAAAACAACATAATAAAATTAAAAAAAAAACGCATTCATAACGAATACAAGAAACCGAAGAACTACATTTCATAGGAACAAGGAAAAGAATAGATCAGTGGAAAGACACTGGAAACAATTTTGAAACAGTGCTAAGCATATGCTTTCACGTTCAAAACCATGTAAACTTTTGAGGGTAAACGCCCTGTTATTTTTAAGATTCCCAATTCCATCACATTGGGAATCGATTCATCACTGCAAAATAATACATTTGGAACAGGTTTATTTCGTATTATCGGTTAATCATTACCAATAAACACCTGAAATAATCAGTAATCATTTCCAGAATGATTTAATCATCCCTACTGCACTGTGTATTGGAAAAACTGAAAATCATAAAATTCAGAAGAAGAATCAGTGAAAAGACATTAGGAGCATTTTTAAAACGATAATACGCTTTCAAATTCGAGATTTTTAAATCCTTACAGTAAAAACTGTTCAATTAATAAACACTGACTTAAAACATACCTCTAATAGAAAGAAGTCAAAACAGTTCTTGGAGATTTTTCATTTTTGTACTGAACCCGAAACAATCTGAACCAATGCATTGTGCGGTAAATATATCACTCACAGACAAATGTCGAACCAATTGTGATACGTAAGTTATTAATTTACTGTTTTAATGTCACTTTAATGTCCTCATAAAAAATAACGTGTGGTAATGAAGTGGTTACTTCCCGTCACGTGGTTCTTCTTTCTATCGTGAATGGTTAGTCGTAACTTCGAAAACTCACTCGTGATCATGTAGATCATTTCCGGAACAATCAATAATCTACGTTGAATATCACATGCGTTATCTTCCCTAATACATTTATTATCACCATTAATGCTTAATGCTTATTTTTCTAAAAATAAACAAAATATAGCTGTAGGGAATCTAACCACATTTATGCATGAAATATATCGATCACGTTTATCATATCTGAATATCATCTCAGAAGCGTTACGATTACAGAAGTTCCATCGAAACGTACGCATAAAAAAATGATAAATACCACACCTTCGACATTTTCCTCACTTCATAGCGGAAACGAAAATCGGAGAAATTATTGAAACAAAAAAAAAACACACACACATACTTCGACAATTAGTAGTTTTCCCAATCATCAGTAATACTATTTTCATTCTCTCGCTCATCCTGTCGTCTCTACTTGGCATACGTTCTTTTACAGAGCTCTGACGTGAATTACTATTGAGACTGTAAACTTCCTGGCTCGGTCCTACCAAATAACTTTGTACTAATTTTGCAGTTTGAGGCTTGTAAGCTGAAGAGTTCGAACTCTGTTCTCACTTACGTCTCACTTCCCTCATTGTATTAATATAGCAATCACTGTTACAGTATGCCACCGAGAATTCGAGTGCTATTACAATCCTCCTTTCCCTTATCAGTCAATATCAAACGATAACAATGGAATATTCATGGCATATGTATGATTGATTATTTGTTGGAGGATATCATTATCACTCATCACTTTTCATATTAAATGATAAGAAGGAAAAAACAAGCAGTGAGAAGTGCAAACAAATCAATTCCATTTCCATCCGCGTGGCCTGGTGAATGATGACCCGCGGTGATATGGATTATGGGGTGGAAGTGTTAGTGATACCACGGGAAGAGTCCGAGAGGTCGAGAATGCGCCATTCCCGTCATCGTCCCGTCAGCCACACGCTGTCACTGATATTGTCAAAAGAGCTAATAATAATATTGTAGCAATTGGAGCAGTCATTTCCTCTCAGAAAAGTTTCAAAAACTGCTGTTCTGCAACTTTAACGAACAACGCCATGGGGAGTACCATCTCGGACTCTTCCCGTATCATTTCAATTAATGAGGGAAGAAGAAATTAATGGGAATGTGGCGGTGCAACTTATCTGCCCGAAATGAGGCCACGGGCTAATGGTACCCGTGGACGGGGTGGGAGAATTGTGGTGAGACAAGAAGTTATAAAAAATTCTTCCCCATCGACCCAATTCTAAGCCTGTTTCAATGTTTGCTATATAAAGCATCTCTTTGCAGAACCTCCTCATAGCAACCTCAAAGAACAGAAGACCTCTTCTGGAAGCATATTCAGTAAGTCTCTCTATTGCTGCCCCTTCTTTCGATGATCAATCACCGAATGGAATCATCATAAAACGTGTTGCAGATATGATATCAGTACGATTTGCTTCAACATTACTGTTAGCTGTGTTGGCAGTGTCGGTGACAGCGTCTGGCTGGTGGGACGATGACTGGGATGAGCCATGGCATCATCATCATCACCATCATGGACACTTCCCGTGGCACCACGGATATTTCCATCATCATCATCATCATCATCCACATCATGGCGGTCATCATTCA